TTTAAGCCACTGTTAAATTTTTATTAATATATTTGTCACACACAGAGAAAATAAAAGCCTAGGCTAAAACATGAGTGTGAGTGACTAAAAAGCTATGTTTTTTTTATTTTATTAAACTGTGTTCATATTCTTAAGACAATCACAGTCTAGAAACAGCTAGAATAATAGAGGGTGGAATATCATTATAAATGTAGTTTCATAAATACTATATTTTCTTTTTGACAATCTCCTGGATTTCAGAGAACTAATTTGGCAGAATTTATTGGCCCTTTAATTGCCTTTTAAGTTTGCTCCACTCATCTGTCTATAATGTGTAACAGTAGGTGGGATAAAATTTTGATCACAGAAAGAGGGAAACCCTTCAGAGAAGGTTGTCTTCAGGGAATACAAGCTATTCTTGAAATACACCCACTTAATCCAATGTCTTACATTTCAGAGGTCATAGAATTAAAGTCATTAAAGTAGCTTGTAAAATGCTTATTCTGCATTAATTTCCAAATCACATTAGTAGTAGATCTAGAAATACCAACTTTTTTCTTGTAGATTCACATATACCAGTGGCATGTTCTAATATTTTTATTATTTTGCTTCAAGCTAAAGGTAGATAGCTCTGTACACATGTAATATGAAGAGCGAATATTTTATCAGTGTTATTTTAAAAATAAAATCATAGGTTGCATTCAAATTTTTAAAAATATATGTATTTGTTCCTTTTTTTAAAGTATTGTTTTCAGTCCCTAACTACAATTCAACTCAAGAATTTTGGTTACTGGAGTCCTCAAATATAGCAGAAGGCAATTGTAAATAAAAATTTTAATGTAATGATTGCATTTTTGAAGGTTTATAGGAATTGGTGGTAAAGCAATAACTAAATGATTAGGGTAGGAAATATTCTAGTATAATTTAACTCTGGAAATTCTAAATCAAAATATTAAAGCTAGGATCAAATATAAGGCTGCATTTTAATTTATTATACCACCATATTGATGTAACCAACGAATCTAATCCTTATTGGCATGAAGGCTGAAAATACTTATTAAATACATTTTTTATTCATTTTTAATTACTAATCATTGCATAACATGTACCAAAAGTTTGAAGAAGATATTTGATCTGAAAGTAAGACTAAAAATCAAGTCAGCTTTCAAATAAATAGGATGCTATGGTAATTTGGAGGAGATAAATTCTATAAGATCATTAAATTTATTTGTTAGTAGAAATCCTCTTGCGTTTGTACAGTATGTCTCCTTCAAGAGACCTAAGGTGCCTTTTTAATTTTTTTTTTTGCTGTTTCATAGTTTTCTGTGAAAAATGGGACAATTCTCTTTTCTAAAAATGTCAATGCTAAAAGAATTTTCTCTATGGGAATGAATGACCTAACACTGAATAAATAACCAAAAATCTATTGCCAAGCTTGCCTGCCTCAAAGTATGGGGTCAGATCAATGGTCCAATTGAACTTTGCACTAGTGTGAAATGATTTGATGTCTTTGATCAATTGTGTGTGTAACATTTTTAAAAGAAGTTGATGAAGTAAATTTATTAATGCATAAATTCTCAGTTCTTATACTACATGTGTATGATTAAATAATAGTTGCTTAGTTTATATGTAATAATTTAATGACAGTGACTATTCAAACATCAAATTATTAATGATGGTAACTAATCAAGCATCATACAAAGGATACATATAAAGAGTTTTGGAACTTAAATAAATTTGCAAATATCTTTATTTTTATATAGTAAATTACCACCAACTTTGCAGTGGTTAGAGAACCTGGTGAGGAAGGGGCAGTCAAATATATTCTTGGTTATCATCTCACTAGCCTTACATGAAGCTAATGGCTGAGGGTGAGTATGAACACCTAAGATATGTATAGTCTACACTCATCCTAAAAGATCTATGGCTATACAGACCTGTATACCAGGAAGAAAGAATGTTAAACTTGGAGGCCATCTTAAAACTCTGCTTGTCTAACAAAATACTGATACACACACATGCATACACACACACACACCCACACACAGGAAGATGAAATCAAAGAAAGAAATCATTTCAAATATTGTTTCTGTTTCTTTTCCACAATCTCCTATAAGGAAAGGGATAAAAATGAGGCTGGAAAATCCCATTCTCCTTGTGGTTCAGTACTTAGAAATTGACCCTTTTCCTGTGATAATATCTTACATTGAAAGATAATTGTTTGCCAGACACTCTTCTAAATTTTTAAGATATATTGCATATATTTACTCATGACTTTTACAGAAATTGAAAAAGAGTAAATATTTTTATAGTGTTTTTCATTGTTGAAGTACAAAAAGATTAACGTTTTCTTTTAAAATTCAAAATGCTAGTAAGTTATAACAGTAGGATAATATACTGAACAGATGTTATATACTCAAACAGTTGTTAATGTAGTTTTGTTAGGATTATTAGAAAAAGAAATAGAACAGAAAAACCAAGAAGAGATGAAAACATGAATTTTACTTAGCTAGCACTGTTGTTTTGCTATGGAGAGCTGCCCTGGAGCACACAATCTAGGAGAAAACTAATTCAAAGTAACTTCTGTGCAGCAGTGTTACGTCCTGCTGCCCAACTTGTCAATGAATTGAGCAAGCAGACACAGAAGAAGAAGAAAAAGGGTGAAATGTTGTAATGATTGTGAAAATTAAATCAGGCTCGCCAGCTACCAGTTTTGCAATCTCCATTCTATTTAACAACAACAAAAAGAAGATAGTATATGAAAAACATTTCACTTTGATTTTATTCAGTGACATTATTGCATTTTGACCTCATGGAAAATTGTATAACCAAATTCACATGAGAGGGAGCTTTACTTCTTTCCAAACTGGATTTTGGCCCTAGCAACAGAAATCTGGGCAAAATCCTCTCTATTCTCTAAGGGATGATTTTGAGGTAGCCATAACTCACCCTTTGACTGACGTCCCTCACCCTGCCTCTGCTTCCAAGTATTCAGTGTCTCCTCAACACACTTCTTCCACTAAGGCAGAAATGGCAAAGGCCAATAAATAGCTATAAAGTCAGGTTTGTTTAAAGGATGAAGATGGCAGTACAAAGAGAGGAAGCTGTAGCAGGGAAGAGGAGATATAAGAAGCTAAATACTCAAGATTCAATGCAAAAGGAAGAGATCTAGAAGCAGGGAATATCTTGCAAAATGCTTATTTCATCCACTATAGAAATTCAGATGAACAGAAAAGGAAGATCATGTCCCTGAATTGATATTTTGCAGAACCCATCCTACAATTTTAAGAAACTTTTTCATACCCATTAGGTGGAAGAAAGTATACTTTCTTCATTAAGAAATATAGACAATTTTTAGTCACTCTGATTTGAAAAGAATAGCATAGCTGGACAACTTTGATAGAGACACTAATTCTGTCACTTTTATGAAAATAATTTGATTTTAAGACAAATAAGAAATACATCACCAGAAATCTGCCACATTTTTGTGAATAAGAATGTAATTTCAATGTTACATACATAGGTAAACGTTTGAAATTGGGACATAGCCCACAAAGAAATGTGTTTTGATTATTAAGGATAAAAAATGATAATATAAATTTGTGAAATGCAAAGATAAAGTCAGCATATATATAAAACTGACTTAGAACTACTTGATTAGTAGACGTGTACAGAGAACTATGTTATGGTTGATAAATTTAGCATCAATAAACATTTTCTAAAGTCAATGAATGTATTAATGGGGTAATATAAAGAATTGATAATTATGAGTTTGAGATTATCTACAGAATTGTTTCTTGATGTCTATTAGAAAAGTATATTAGTACACATCCTCATAAAAAGCCTTTGTTGTGATTGTTGAGCCATTTCCTATAATAATTGCTTTTCTAGTGCTGAAGTTAGTTTTAAAAGCTTGAATTATGAATATTTCATATTATACTATTTTCATATTCCATAGGAATGCTTTATGCAAATTAACTTTCTCATAGCTTCACACTGACCTTTACTTCATAGAGGGGAATTAAATTGTAAAAGGAATCTGGTAAGCAAAATCCCTTTCCAACAATAGGCAATGTATTAATTATTATAATCGTCCTGCTAATCTGTTTGGAAACTCTGTTTCTCTACTATTTTTATCTTTTTAAAATAAAAAATACATGTTTTTTCTAGATATTTAGGGTAGCTTTGTTTCTTATATGGAAGCAAAAATGTAGGATTTTCAGTTATTTACAGAATTGAAATATTTGTTTCTTAATGTGTTTCACAAAAGTTAAGAAGTCCAAGAATAATTTTTAATTTGTTAATATGTATATGAATAATACAGAATTCTTATATCCTCAAAATACTAAAAGCTAGTTAGAGTAGGTACTCTTTAAGAAATTAGCTGTATCACTATCTTAACTAACTTGTGTATAAATATATTTGTTTCTTTTTCCCTTTCTTCCTTTCCCCTTTGCCCATCAAAATTTGCCTTTTCTTTTGAATAGTTTCTTCCAAATACACAAAATCTATTGTACATTTTTGATCTTATTTACTTGTTCCATTTCTCATACTAATGAGACAATACAATTTGAAAACATGTATTTTTTGCATCTAATTAAAAATTATAAACTTTTCTGCTTTACTTAAGGATATTTTAGTTTATAAGTGTGTGAGGGTTTCTGAAAGCAATCTGACTTCAGGTGGGGTGTTTTCTGATCATAAAATCTCAATTTACAAATGTCTCAAATCTGACCTTATGATGAGTGGTAGCACAAATTCCTTGTATGCTAAAGAAGAAGGAGAACAATCTTTAGGCTTTCCACGCATCATTCATTTTAAATTCACATTACATTTAATTTTCAAAACTTCAAAATCATATTGCATAGACTTTTCTTCCTTTATCTAAACATCCTGATTCAATTTTCGTATATATTTTATACAAAGATGAAATTTTATTGATAAACTTTAAAGTACATGAAATCATCCATACACATGAGCAAAGACTTTCAATTAATCTAAAATAAAAGAAAAACTATTGGTTCTTTCAGAAATTTTAGTTTTAATGTAAATAAAAGAAAATATAACTTACAAAGTAATGAAACTGTAAAGCTTGAGTTGCTGTAAAACAAAATATAAGAAAGTTTAATAAAGTTTTAGTATATTTATGATGTCTATTGCATACACTGTGTTAAGATCTGCTTGTGCTGCAGGAAAGAATAAAATTCAAGAAACCTGCAGGTTGTCTAATTCAAGTTTCAGGTAATGAAGTAAATTTCCCTTTCAGAACAGTGTCATGCTTTGAACAGGAAATTTCAACTCTTACAAATCTTCTCTTACACAAATACAGCTGTATGTTCTGTATATGTAACAAAAGAAAAGAAAAGAAATTCCACAAATCAACTTCCTGCAATTGATATATAACTATATAGAGCGAATTGCATAAATTATATATATTTATATATTTTCTCTTTGCTTCATTGCTTATCTTCTTGATTTTTTTCTGGTATATTCTCTTTAGGATTTACCTCAAATACATTATCATTTCTCATTTTTGAGATTGTACTGGTTTTTTTTTTCATGATTCTACTGTTCTCACAGTGATACTATGTATGTTACTTTAAAAATTAATAGTTTTATTTTTTCAGATAATATACAGTTTTTCAAATTTAGATTTTCTGACTAAACTAATTCTGACATTTAGTGTTTGAATGTTAAAGTTTTAAGTAGATTTTAAAAATAGTTTAGGAAATAAATGTAAGTATCCATTCTGGTTTGAAAGAATAGAATTTTTTAAACAATTTATGCTCTTCATGTATTTTTACTTGTCATTAACTGATTGTAAAACTAATTATGGTTACTCTTTGATATGTCTATGATATGGTACTTTAGAAAAAATTGTGTGATATTAAAGTAGAAATTGTGGATCAGATTATCATAATTTAAATTTTCCCATAATGCATGCTTTTTGTCCAGAATCTATATATTGTTTTTATTGAAAATGCATGATTTTGAAATTCAGTGTCACTCATGTGCTTTATGGTTATCTTAAATATGACTTTGACATGTTTCAATAGCTTGTTGAAAAATGTTTTTGTGATAATATACCTTAGACTCTAGATATAAATTTTCTGACTCTATATTTTAAAATCATGGAGCTCCTTAGGTTACTACCAAATTTCATAATACTTTTGTAATTCAGCATGAAAAACGAAAATAAAATAATTTTTCCTCTGGAAGACATGGGCCATGTTTGGAATAAACACAATCAAGAACATTTGCATTATTAGAGATGAAGCTAATATTTGTTTCACATTTTTTAAAACACAGGAATTATTTTATAGCTCTATAATTGCTGTTATCAGTTATTTTCAGTCTACTTTCTAATAAATATTCTGAAAAAATCTAATGTTTGTGTTGTCACCTGGAACATTTGCCTCATGATTACTTTCATTGAAAGATAATTAGTGATATTGTATGTCAGAATCAACACAATCTAACCCACTACCATGAAAATTTTTGCAGTTATTTTATTATAGTTTTAAATTTGGAAGACTTTGGAAAGTATTACAAATGGAAAGTTTGTTTTATATGTGTCTATCTATTTAATGTATATTACCAGGTCAATCCTTCTATAGTCAGTGCATTATTTTTGTGATGAGACCAGAAAGGATGTATCAAGTTTTAATTCAATTTATAAAACACATTTTATGAAACTAGATTGCCACAGAAGAGTATACATTCTGGATAAAGAAAAATTTAATGACTTTCTTAGTTGATCTTAAAAATATATGATACTTTGTTTTTATATTGACAACCGTATAAAGAATTAAGCTTATATTAAAATAAGTGACACAATATCTCAATTAATACTATCTCAATACTGTCCCATAAAAATTATTTGATTATAATAGGGATAATAATAATTAAAAAAAGGTTTCACTGATCAATTAAACTTAACAGTATGAATAATTAATTTTAAATTATTATTTTAGAGGATCTAATTTTTCATTCTATATTTAAATTTAAATGATAACATTTACTAAAGACAAATATGTAGGATCTTTAAATCTAGATATTTACAGACTGTGTAATATAGATTTAAAATTAAATATTTATATAAAATGAACACATACATGAATATTAATATAATCTGGTTGAATAACAGTATTAGCTGAGAATTATAAGGAGAATATAATCAGTGGAATAGTATATTGTGAATATGAATGAGTGTGGCAGATGTCTGAATTTCCAGGACCTTAAATTCCTTTCTACTTTAACTCCTGTCATTTCTAAATTCTCCCCCAAGTTTAATAGTCAAAACATGAGACCCATTTTTTCCCGGCAAAATTGGTCTCATAATTTGAAGCTGGTTGCTTATTATTTCAATAGCAACCTCATTTAGCAGGTGAGAACAATTAGTCCCAACCTGGAGTTACACACAACCTGATTGTGTAACCATGAGACATGCTTACATGTACCTGGACAAGTCCATAATCATTTAGGAATGAGCTGATGTTCATTTATAAATGTAAGTTATATTTAAATTGGAAATTCCTATAAATATGTGTGTCTGTAAAAGTTCCCTTTGCTAGTTTAATAGTAAACGTGACATATTTATATTCTTGAGCCAGGATTAGTACCAACGTCCATCTTTCCATTTTAAGAACTGGATCAAATCTACATTATTATCAAGAGAAAGACTGTATTTATTATTAGGGAAAATGCTGTGTGAACACATGCATATCTAACTACTGTTGTTTACATCTATAAAAAATTATCCATACTAGATAGGTGGTCAAACTTATGGTGTTTTGCAAAAACCTAAATTTTACTTCACAATCTTATAAAACATTCAACTTTGAGGCTTACTTACTGCTTTTTAACTAATAGATGAATTTTCCAATTATGATCAGAAAGATATCAAGTGAAAAGTTTTTAAGTTACAGAATATATTGGAAGATACAGTATGTATTTTCTATACAAAAACTTGGTTTACATTTTTAAATCATTTCACGTTATATTTCACTTTTAAAAATGTAATCATTTCTTAACATAAATGTGTTACATCATAAGAAAATGCACAAATTTACCATAAAACTTAGAAAACTCAACCTGACTTATAACCAGATGGCAACATCAGATTTTACATCTTGGAATTCATTATAGGTAAATGAGCGTGATCGTCTTCTAAGATTTGTTGGTCTCTTAGGTCTTCCTTCTATCAAGTTTAAATAGATGTCGGATTTCAGGAAACGGGTATAACTGTCTTGTTCCATGAGCTGATACACTCTACTTTGTGCAGCATCGAAACTCTGGAGTGTGGGATGATCCATACCCTTAGTAATGATTTCTTTGGTGTGGAAATCAAGGTTAACCTGTACAGAAACACACACAGTTAATTATTTAAGCAGTCATCTTTGAGAACACTGTTCAGGATGGATACAATGTTATGTTTTAGGTACAGGTGCTTAGATGGCTGTGTAGCTTTTTTTCCTAGGGTTGAGGAATCCAGTGATTTATTCTGGATTGACAGATCACTTGGCTCCCCTCTCTCTATGCTTCTGGTCCTTCTCATGCTCAAAAACAGCTGGATGTTGCAGTGGAATGTGCCATACGGTCCACTGGGTGAGTTCATTTATTTTCAAAGTAGAAACATTTAAAATTATTGAAATTATGGAAAATAGTGAGTGTAGGTTATATTGTGTGGATTTCAAGACAAGGCGTTGGTTAATTCCAGCACTTATCTCATTATGTTATGATGTACTCCTACATGCAAATATGTGCTAAAATTTGAATGTCTTTAAAAGGTAACAAAACATTTAATGCTTTTTATCATAGCATTGCTGGTATTGCTGCTTCTGATGGTGGTTTGCTTTCAGAAAGAGTCGTTCATTTCCTCTGGGTAGCACAATACAGCTTGATGCTTTTTATAAAGATATCTTTAAAGTGGGCACTGGGGACGATGGACTACTGCAATGAAAAGCAACAGATCAAAACATATGAAAGCAAGGAAAATGATCATAATTTTTGTGGAACAATTATCCACAGAGATAATGCTACTTTATCAACAGTCTTAAAGCTTAGGTCATAAATGCTCCCCATGCACCATACTTTAAGAGCGTGATTGCCAGTCTCAATGCTACTGGAAGGTGATGGAGTCTTTAGGGGGGCTCTAGTGGAAGGAAATTAAATCTTAGGGGCATGTCCTTAAAAGGGTTTTGGGGACCCGATCCCTTCCTTCTCTTTTTCTTTTTGCTTACAGCTTATGAGGTAAGCAATTTCTTCTGCCATGTACTTTTACTGTGCTGTACTGATTTTTCTACAAGCCTGAAGCAAAAAGGCCAAGTGTCCGTGGAGTGAGAAATGAAACCAGGAACCAGAATAAGCTTTTCCTCTTCTAGGTTGATTTATCTCAGGTACTTGTCATAGAAAGGTAATACATACAGTATTAATTTATAGTCAAACAAAACTGTTACTAGTGACAGACCTTCAATCTTGCTGCCTAAATGAAACCTGTAATTGAAACAAGATACTGAAATTGTTTTTTCACTTGAACCATTGCTTAGTTTCCATTATTTCCATTATTTCTCCACTATGAAATTTTCTCTTATCCTATGCTACAGCAGAGAAATAACTCTGTGGAAAAAGTTTGCATAGATAGACAGCATAATTATTAAATGAGACAACTTTGTATTAAAATGGCACATGTCAACCATGTCTCAATTTCTCTAGAATTCATTACTTAGAGAAATGGTTTTCATGTAGGGTGACTTTTGTAAAAATGATTAATATGATTAATATTTTCTTTTAATCTAGATGAAAATAATTCTAAGGAGTAACTTCAATTATATATTTTCTTCCATTATAATATTTTATATCATGTTTTATATAAAAATCTATATGAATAATGTTTTCTTTAATGAAGTCTTATACTTTATGATAGACTATGTGGGGGGAGCATTCTGATAAAAATTTTCTCTCAAAAAGTTTTCATATACTTATTAATTTTTCTAATCATCTTTATTGTACCTCTTGTGGAGCATCATTCTGTATAAATTTCTCATATATTGCTTTTGCTTTAAGGATAATTTGTTGAGGTTCCTTGTTTTTCTTGAAATCTTCACAGGCTATCCAAAATTCAATGTTTTCCTCACTGAATTCTGTTTTAAGAAATTTGGTAAAAGCATCCAGTCCATCTACCAAAAAAAAAAAAAAAAAAGTAGAAAGTATCAATGATGAAAGTATACTACTCGATATCAAAGCGTAACTATGAATCTTAACAGAAAACTATGAATTTTCTCTCATTACTTAGGCAGCACACATCTTCAGAGCAATCCTGAGGGCCCTCTTACAAGCTAACTCTAACGTCATAACTATGAAAGATAAGCATAAATCTTTCCGAAGTAAGGCTAGAATCCTTCGGTCTAAATCCTCACTTTTAAGAGTTAAGTGGGACTTCTATTATGAATTTCAATTCGTGTATCTTTTATTCACCAGCCTTCCAGCGTATGAGGGGTTGTTCAACAGACTCAGAAGATTATTTTCTTTGGATATCATCCTGCCCCTTTCTAGACAAATTCCCTGAACAAAGGGTCTTTCTTTCCAGAGTTTCCATAGTCTTATTTGCCCAGGTACTCCCTCCTTGGTAAGCATACACATGGTCCTGAGTGTGGGCAGGGCATAAGTTTGCAGACTGGAGGGTCTTTTCAAATGTCATTGACCTGTCACAGTGTGGAGATAAACCATGGATGAGAAGAGAAAGCAGAATAGGTAGAATTACAAACCATTTGTGTACTTTAAATTCAAATATGTTCCATGTGGTTTACAGAGTGTATTTGTCAAACTAAAAAGATACGATATATATTTTAAAGAGTTGCTAGACTGATCTATATTTCTTAACTATTTACACACATAGTATGATATTTGCTTTTATTCTGAACCCCATAAATCATAGAGGCAGGTATAAAGCCCTGTGGAAGACTACTTGGACTCAAATTCATGTTTCTCTTGATATATTTGGTCTTATGTTTATTGCTTTTTCTTTTTGTGCTTCATTTTCTCAATATTTAAAAATAACATAATAATCATTTCTACCTTTAGGGCTACATAGAAAACTAAATATGCTAAGGTTTGTAAATTATAGAGAATAGTAACTAACACATAGTAACTATAATGATTTTGGTGGTGGTGGTCGTGATGGTGATAATGTGATGATGACAAGGACATTCTTGGTGATTGTGAGCTATTTAAATCTCAGCAATATGAAGTTTACAATGCTCAAAAAAGGAGTTTACTTTGTATTCAAACTGTAAGTCAGTCTAACTTTAAATTAGCATTCATTCAATTGTTTTTGATATTCTACAATTTTTTGATTCATGGACATTTTTAAATTAATCTTTACAGGCCAGGGATTCAGCACAGCATTGCAAGTGCCTTACTGGCAAGCACAAGGTTGTAAATTCAATCCCCAGTACAATAAATAAATGAATAAATAAAGTTAAATTTTAGTTTAAGAAAATGATAGTTTCACATGTACGTATAGTAAATAGCAGAGAGATCTCATGTATACCCTTTATTCAGTTTCTACCAATGTAATAACTTGCAAAACTATAGTAAAATGTGACAACTGCGATATAGATATTAATGCTATGAGACATAAAACATTATAAGGACACCTCATTTGGCCCTTGTAGACATTCACACATTTCTCCCATATTCAACTCCTTTTAAGCCCTGAGAATTACTGATCTGTCTTCTCTCATTATAATTTTGTCAATTTAAGAAGGTTTTGTGAGTTAAGTAGTATAGACTATATTTTTAGAATGTCTTTTTGGTAGCATGATTCTCTGGAAATTGTTTGCTTCCCCTTATCATTGTATTTAATTCCTTGCTAGGGGTGTTCTACCACTGTTTAAATGTTTCTCTAACAAAAGAACATATTGATTATTTATAGCATGTTGTTGGTTCTGTTGTTTTGTTAGAAATAACCCTACTATAAAAATTTATGTGTGGTTTTTAAAAATGTAAACATAAGCCTTCATTTCTTTGATATAGTCCTAAGAAAGGAATTGTTTTATTTCTGTAGTAATTGTAACTGGATTGAAAGAACATGTATGTTTCTTACGGACATTCAAAAAAATTATCTCAGAGCAAATCACATTTGTGTTTGATTTAAATAATGCTTAGCAACCTTTTTTTACAATTAGTCTCTCTCTTTATTCAGGATCTTTTTTTTTTGCAGTCATAGCTAAATTATTACACAGGGAAATCTCACAACTCCCACCTGGATTTCTCACTGACCCTTCCTTTTACAAATTCTAATCCTTGTGGAGTCTAGGGTACTATCTTCAAGTTCTCATTATTTGACCACTTCTCAGTGCAGTCTGTGTTGTTTATCTGCTCTATTCTCCGTTATATGTTGAGTTCTGCAGGATTTAGCTCTTTATATTCTCTTCTATTCTATTTTTTCTAGTTTTCCCTTCTCTTCTCTATCCTCCTGTCTCATTTCAATGCTTTTTTTCCTGAAATTATTTCCTACTGCCTACTGTAATTTATGCATATTGTTGGCATCTGCAAAGAAAATGACATTATGAATAAATAAGAACAATAAAATTTCTCTGTATTAAATATTGATATTAAGAAAATTCAAAAAATGATCAAAAGAAAAAAATTGCCATTCGATTTCAAATATTTCTCTGACTACCAAACTATCTCTTCTTACAAATATAAAGGTTTCAATTAAGTTTTCTGTGCTTGGTATTTTAATTTCCTTATTTACCATACTAAAATGTGGTTTCCATTTAACATTTCACTTACATGACTTTTGCCAAGATGACTTATATTATATTTAGTGAATATTTTTTCTTCAGTCCATATGTTACTTCTCTCCACAACCACCACCAGGATAAAAATTAGTCTGAAATTCTTTTTTATAAAACCTACACTGCTGAGTTTCCTCTTTTACCTCTGCTGTTGCTTCTTTTCATCATCCCCTTAAATACCCTTTCCTGGAAAATAATGTCAAATATAATCAATATATTGATGGCTCTTGAAAGTCACACCCACCCTCTTTCCTGAGCTCAAAAATTTAGATGGACAAGTATGTGGTTTATATTTCCATTTTTCATCAAAATACTTAGGTCATATTTGGAGTCATCACTTTCAGTTCAAACATTTTCTGTATATAAGGGTTGATTAAAACTACAATGTATATGATTAAATTAAAAACATAGTAAAAGATACACTGTCCTTAATCCTCTTCAAAGCAAACCCTCACTTTGAATACACTTATTCCATCATTCCTTCCATTTTCTGAAGCAGTTATGGAAGTCTTGTTTCATAAATGCTTTGATGAGTTGTGATGAAGACTATGGTGCATGCTGCTGCCAATTGCTATACAGTGGAAAAGCAGGCTCATAAAAAACATTAAGGTAAGTCCTCCGCAACACATTTCACTGGATCTCACACTGTGCGTCTTCTGGTCCTACTCTAGAGTCAAAATGGCCCTGAAAGGTCAATGATTTGAATTGATTCAGGCAGACAGAGCAGCAAAAATTAAAGAAATGTCATGTATTAAATTAAAAATTAAAGAAATTTCATGTATTATAATCTGCCTTTTTTTTCATTATATGAAATCTATAACTGCTTTAATCATGTCAGAGTGATCTCTTACATAGATTATTGTAAGAAATTCCTAATCATAACTCTGGTTCCAGGTTTCCCTTGATTTTTCCCTCCATCATCCAGTTTATCAGAGTTTTGCTAGTAACACGTTTCTGTAGGAAATTTCATGATTCTTCACTGTTTACAAATTACCCCTCTGCTCACTTTCATCACTTCATCACAGAGATCACCTCTGCGAGCATAGAGAAATCCTCCTGCTTCCATGCATATGCCGCATTTCTGTATCACCTAGCTCTAGCTCCGTGGGAAATGCTTTACAATTTCCTAAGCCAACTTCATCTATCTGATTTCTTCAGTTTTTCACATTTAAATTTCAGGTCATCTTGTTTGGAAAAACTTCATCATTCCTTGAAGAACAAATTGAGTGCCCTTTATATATAACTTTCTAGTGTCCTGAAGTTTTTACTGTGCCTTCCTTTTGTCCCCTTTGCTACATTAGGAGAGTCATGAGATTAAAGTCTGTCTAATTTTCCACCAAATCTCCAATCCTTAGCGTGAAGAAATCACTAAATAATTACTTATAAAAATAATATATAATGGAATCAATAAAAATCTAAAATTTTAGTAAAAACACAAACTTTGAATAAAAATGAAAATTACACAAGTGTTTCAGGAAGTATTTTATATTTTAAATGAACTATCAGACCTATAATATGTACAATAGAAATTGATCATTGTGTCAGCATAAAAAGCAAACCAAAATCTCTTCTAATTGTAATAATGTACAAATATATATAATTAAACTATATCAGATTATTTAAAGAAATAAATTTTTCCCCAAACTTGATATCACAAAACATTTAATAATATTATAATTTTATACTTGGCAAGCAAATTTTTTATTATGATTTGACTTCTTCAGATATAAAAAAAGAGAAATAACTATCAGTGACAGTTTTATATCTTAATTTATATTACTAAGCTGGAATTCAGCCTCAAGAGTTATGTGTGTGTGAAGTATACTAAGCATTGAGTCTTTCCTGGCATGCTAGCAAGACGAATCATCAATTCTCAGAGCCTATGAGTTTGACATCAGCTCACATGCACTTCAGAAAGGCCAACAATCCTTACTGAAGGAACACTGCTCCTTCGGGATATCACTGTGTGTTCCTATGCACGTTCCACATTTTAAAGTACATTCTTCATCTTGATCAACCATTTCTCTATATATGTTTTGCTGTATGCTGAGCTCCCTGCTGAACAACGTATTAATTTATTGAAAAAGTGTTTATTGTATGCTATGTTGCAGACACTGTTCTAGAATAACAACAATTCTAAAGGTAGACAAATTCCCTAATTCGACACTTGATCTATAGAATCTTACCTTAAATGCAAAAAAAAAAAATTACTATTTAAACTTATAAAAGAGGAGTACCATGACAAGGAAAACAAAATCAGATTCACCCTCTGATCATAAATAGCTATGACATTGGACAAAAATAAATAATAGATACAATAAAATGATATATACAATTCCATTTATACCGATGATGATATTTAATATAAGTGGACT